CCTTGAGAGGTACGCGGAAAATTTGAGCATAGATGCTATACTTGAAAATTAAGGGGATTATACATTATATGTATACAGGGTGGGGCAATAACTATGTCCACTTTGAATATTGCCGTTATTTGTAATAATATGAAAAAATGTCATATACAAAACTTACATGATATTAGGTAATTTTCGTAGTGTTTTAGATGTACTATAAACCTGTTTTTGAATTTTTGAAAAATATCCATTGTTTTTCCAGACACGGTTGCAACGCTCTTGTGAAACAGACTGTATATGTTGCTGTTTTTCCCCACCACTCCCGAAATGCAACAGAGTATTATATTCTGCGACAAACGCGAGATCTATTGAGCGATTGTTTAAAGCAGAATTATATGGATATTTTTCCAGCCCGAGGCGCGCCGAACGCAATGTCCGGGGCTTGGCGAAGTGATTTGACCGGGGCAAAAATTGTTTCGCCGAAAATAGCTCACAGCATTTGAATCTGAAAACGCAATGAGGCATTCGTTACGGGGGTTAATGGAACAAACGTGTTTGACCGGTCTTTCCCGAGACCGTGTGACCGGTTGACTCGCGTATATTCAATGAAAATCTGTTACTGCATACGCATATCGAATCGCGATATTAAAAAAAAATGTATTCATTTTCATGTTCGCCTGATAAATATGGTTTTGTAACTGTGCCTTTGTTACGCAATACCCATACATTGATTACAGAGAATCGAAACTATCAATTATGAGGAAAATATTCGATGCCACTGCCACGATTGAAACAGTATTTAAGGATAAACTGTTGAAACACTGTTAATAACATCTACATTAACCTTCGTTGTACTGTTCAATTAAGTATTCCATTACTATTGTTTGAATTAAATTGAATCGAAAAAAGGTATAGGATTCCATAAAAAAAATACCGATGACATTGGAACCTCGTTACATATGCACCTTAAAATAGTTCAACTTTATCTTGAGACGTTTTTTCATGCAAAGGTAAATAAGGCAGATATTTAGGTGATCCTATTTAGCTGAGATACGCAACTAATTTTATGCACTTTTGTGCATCGGTGCATCAGAAAGATGCAACTGCATTTTTTTTTAAATGAAAACCTATGTTTTTGACTGCATCGATTGGTGTAGTCAAAAACATAGGTCACCATTTTTAAAAAAAGTGCAGTTGCATTTTTCTAATGCACCGATGCACAAAAGTGCATAAAATTAGTTGCATATTATGCACCGTCTGATACCATTTAACCGTCACTTATAACATCTTCTATTCCCAACCGTTTAGGAGTCCAAACACAGTCAACAACAACAAACAACAGTCCAGTCCACTCTTTTCATTTCTAGTTTCAACTATCTCCATAACATGAATTTGTTCTTCTGGAAACGAAGCTCGCGTGACAATCCAATTAACAAATTCTCGTGACTGTCATCACAACATAGAGAATTCTTCGGTTCACCGGGAGGGACCGATTCCTCTGTCGATAAGAAATGGTATTTCCTTCGCGAGTACAGAAAGCTCGACGAACGTGGTAAGCGAATTACACAAGTGCGAAGTATCTACCCAGGGCAAGAGGAATTCTGGCAAGAGCAACGGAGCAGTTTCCACGCACGAGTTTCCAATGCGGTGAAGTGACTAATACGGGAAGTTATCCGTTTAGGAATCCACCATAAATACTTGAGGTTGGCGCGGACCAAGAAAATGTTTGACGTCCTATTATCCATGCCAGGAATCGAAATCCGCTGGGAGTATTCGCTCGGCGAAGCCAAATATTTGAGCCGTACTGTGGAATACGTATGTTGAGACTCCGCGGAGGAAACAGTCCCCAATTCCCAAGGTCCACGGATGCTTGTGAATTCGCGACAATTATTCGATCATCTTGTAACACATCAAATAAAAGATCGAGCAATTTTTAGTTTATTCTGGTTAACACAACGTGTTATAAAGAAAAATCTTGACCAAATGTTTAATTGGTTTCTAGCATGGGCTTTGTCCTGAAGGATAGATTCCTCCAGCATGTCAACTTCGAAAACTCTAGAATTCGTCCTCCACCTTCAGGACTCAACTAATCATATAATTTGTACATCAGTGAATACCTTAGACGGAGACTCTCGCCAATCAGGGAGAAAAGCGAATTCTCAAGGCGTTTCGACCTTCTTCAAAAATTAGTTTATTACTAGCATGGTTGCCAGATGAAGACTTCAAATTAAAGGTCATTTAACGTCACATCAATAATACGACTTGTGCATACCATACGAGGATTAATATAGTGTGTACCACCTCCCCTACTCCTTACTACAGTAGACCCTCGATAACTTTCAAGTAAACATCAAGTAAACATCAAGTAAACATCAAGTAAACATCGAGTAAACATCGAGTAAACATCAAGTAAACATTAAGTAAACACCAAGTAAACATCAAGTAGATTTGAAGTAGACATGAAGTAAACATGACGCAAACATGAAGCAAAGCATCAAATAAACACCAAGTTAAGATCAATTCGTAGCTTCATTCTCGAGTCCTCATTAAAAGTTCTCACCAATGGCGCAGCATTAATTTAACGTACGATCCCAATTCGATTATGATAACCGGCACGACAGCGGCCATGAATTGTGAACCGACGGACAGTGTGGTCGCCGGTTGATACAGCGAGGTATCCACTCAGGAATACCCTCTTATACGAATCCTGCGTTGGTGGACGGGGAAGAATGGTGGATAACAAGGAGTTTCGAGGTTAGGGGAGGGATGGAAGTAACAGGACTGTTACCAAGTTCGGACAGACCGAGTTAAGTTTACAGGCTGACGCTCACCGGAGCCTGCACGGCGAAAACGCTAGGACGAAGTTTATTCCGTCTCCCTCGCGGCGCCTCCACCACTCCCCCCACCCCTTGAGAAATACCAGAGACACTGATTTACATAACGATTAAGTTAATTAACGAGGTCTGCCGGCGGATTGTTAATCCCAGGCGTGGAAGGACGCGACGCGTCGAACGTCCCCGTGGCGTTACTCGCCAAACCCCCGCAAAACGAGAATTATTAGGGGCATGGGGAGGGGGGGGGGCTGTTTGACTTGCGAACGGGCAAGTTAAACGAGCTCCACCTTCCAGAGTGTTGTTCTTCGTTTGTTAAAGGCTGATGGTGTGGGGTGCGGAGTCGCGATCCTTTGGGAATTCTCCAAAGCTGGATTTATAACGGGGGAATGGGGGTGGTTGTAATCAGTCGAGGCGGTCTTCTCTTAAGGAGGATCAACACCGATTGATACAAAAATTTATATTTTCTTTGGAACTGTCTTCCTGGTTTTTATTATATTGTTGCTTCAATGGTAAAATTGCAAAATAGCAAAAAGTTAATTTATTTGGAGAGAAGACCAGTTTGTCGATTAATGCGAAATCACTTTGCATTGTTTTTAGCCATGTGTTAGGCCAATTATATTTATTTTTTGGCGCTTTTAAATACATAATGATGAAGTTGCGAAACTGCAAAAAATTAATTTGTCAGGGAAGAAGAAGCTTCGTCTTTTTAAATATGTAGTGAGAAACTAAGTTAAATAGATACTGAGATAGAAACACAGAAATGTAAAATGTTATTGAATCCGGAAATATATTCAAACATTATGATAAAACATTTTTCTAAATACACTCACAATCAGTATCCCTGTAATTCAAAAGATAATTGCACAAAATGTGAATAGAAATTTCAGTTATCCCTGTTTTCGTCGATCTTGGTACATAATGGAGCACAGATAAAATTTCGCGTACCATTTCACGAACGTAGGCAAAAAATTCGAACGTAATTAACGGTCCCTGTCATGAAATAAATTTTAATCGAGAAACTAAAAGTAGGAAGTATCTGTAGCGAAGACCTCGATTAACCGGCTTAATCGGTTTCGATTCTCGAAGGATTACGTGGAATCCTCGTGGGATCTAGCGCACTGACGGCGAATCTCTTGCTTTTGCTACTTCCTCGCTCAACCCCATTTCCCCCATCCCTTCGACGATTCCCCGCAGACATTTGAATCCCACTGTCTAAAACTCCTTACTCGCAGTCACTCAAAATTAAATCGTTTGAACGCCAGACAGCTCTGATTTCTTTGATCCACGGAAAAACACCATTTAATCCGTCTTCCGATTAATAATAATAATAATAATACCGTATTTATTACACCACAAATAAAAGTAAACTGATTAATAGGATATCGAACAAAAAAACCGTAGGAAACCAAGATAAAATAAAACAAATAAAAAGAAAGAAGAACACGAAAATATATTATTAAATGATGTAAAAGCGAGACGAACAGCCTAGTTGTGTTGAAGCATAACTTTGTAATAAAAGAAAATTCACTTCGTAATAATTACATCCCCTGCAAAAGAATTAAAACCATACGTTTCATAGTCACGAAATTATTTATCGACATTTTCGACTGGATATTTGATAACTCTTCCAATTGTTCGAAGTCCTTTGAACCGGACACGCTAATAGAACAGGAAGTTTCAAACTGTCGAAAGAAATGACAAGCTTTAAAATATACAGAGCGTAAATTATATTCGGCGATTCTGTCGCCTGTAGTGTTTTCGCCATTGAAATATTTCGCAGATAAGAAATTTTAGCCGCAGGTAATTGTAATCATTCCCACGCAAGAGCTAGAGTGTTATCCTCTTAGTGGCCCTGTTTCAACGATCTCTCGATCGTCGTGTGAGAATCGCTAAAATCTTCACGACCTCCATCGTCGGAATCGTTAGATTCGTGACCTCTGACGTTTGTCACCAACCCGCGCTAAAACGATTTTCATGCCTCTAATCAAAGCGCAAAGAGGGTCGTACCGCTTCGAAGCTGTGTATAAAGCCTCGAGTAGCTCTCACGACACGGTACAAAGATGCTCCACGCCTTTGACGACGAGAAGCTTTCGGAACGCTCCATCGTCGACATAACCATTTCCCAGGATGTGAAAATACCAGCTCTGGCTGGATTTCGTGGAAAGATAAAAGTAAGTTTGTACTCACGATATCGAAGTCAAGGTTCTCTGCGATCCAGTCCCGGCCCTGCTTGAACTCGTCGTGAAGACCCATGATGTAGAGGGTGTCCAAACCATCGACGATCGTCGCGCCCATGTTCGAGGCGCCGAAGATGCTCGCGCTGTGACCTTTTTTCGAGATCGGCCGAAGCTCGTTCTTACCCCAAGCGTACCTCACGTAATTGTCCCAGCCATGCTTCATCATCTGTACAAATGAAAAATAAACGATTAGAATGGATTCGTTTTATCTGTCACTTTTGATGGATGCACCTGTGGTTGAAATTATCATTAAATAATAGAATGTTCTAGTATTATTGACTTTGGAGGAAATGCAGTGTAAATATACAGTACTTCATAACACCTGGAATTTACTTTATTTTAAGATACAAGACCAATGAAAAGGGGTCATATAAATGTGTGTTGCGTTATTGGTATCGAGTTGTAGCTATCTCGGAGGTTGTTATGAAACACCCTGTATAAAAGCGCCTTAAATAGATTTTGACTTTCACGATTGTCTTCTATATTGATTATTCATAACGAAATTGCATAATAAAGACGATTATCACAATAGTTCTTATCAGTTTGTGTACGAAATTACGGACTTAGTAGTGATAATAGACGTTCTGACATATTAACTACACGCTCTTCTGAATACTTCAATCAATAATAGAGTAATCTCCAACGCAACAGTTGGATCACACTATCAGATTCACACCCGTCGGCCATATGATATGAACATCTGAAGTCCAGTCATCAGACTACCAGCGAAACCAGTTGAAATATTAGGAACACTATCAGTGAACCATATAGTAAATAAATTTTCTAGAGCATTTAGAAAAATTCCTCCCTAATCACACCACGTTAATCTCATCGTCTAATACACATCCCTCGATCACATGAATATCTAAAGCCTAGTTCTCTAACCACTAGGCAAGCTTACATTATCAATAAACCATATAGTAAATAAATTTTCTAAAGCATTTAGAAAAATTCCTCACTAATCACACCACGTTAATCTCATTGTCTGATACACATCCCTCGATCACATGAATATCTAAAGCCTAGTTCTCTAACCACTAGGCAAGCTTACACTGTCAACAAACCATATAGTAAGTAATTTTTCTAGAGCATTTAGAAAAATTCCTCACTAATCACACCACGTTAATCTCATCGTCTGTTACACATCCCTCGATCACATGAATATCTAAAACCTAGTTCTCTAACCACTAGGCAAGCTTATACTGTCAACAAACCATATAGTAAGTAATTTTTCTAGAGCATTCAGAAAAATTCCTCACTAATCACACCACGTTAATCTCATCGTCTGATACACATCCCTCGATCACATGAATATCTAAAACCTAGTTCTCTAACCACTAGGCAAGCTTATACTGTCAACAAACCATATAGTAAGTAATTTTTCTAGAGCATTCAGAAAAATTCCTCACTAATCACACCACGTTAATCTCATCGTCTGATACACATCCCTCGATCACATGAATATCTAAAGCCTAGTCCCCTAACCACTAGGCAAGCTTACATTATCAATAAACCATATAGTAAATAAATTTTCTAGAGCATTTAGAAAAATTCCTCACTAATCACACCACGTTAATCTCATCGTCTGTTACACATCCCTCGATCACATGAATATCTAAAGCCTAGTCCCCTAACCACTAGGCAAGCTTACACTATCAACAAACCATATAGTAATTTTCTAGAGCATTTAGAAACATTCCTCTCCAATCACACCACGTTAATCTCATCGTCTGTTACACATCCCTCGATCACATGAATATCTAAAACCTAGTTCTCTAACCACTAGGCAAGCTTACACTATCAACAAACCATATAGTAAGTAATTTTTCCAAAATTCTTAAAAAGATTCCTCTTTAATATAACGCTTGTACCTCATCATCCGGTACACATCCTTCGATCGCATCACATTATCTCCTTATCCCCCTGTGTATTCTAATAACAGCTATAGATCTCGACGTTCTCAGATAAGCGACGGCATTAGCGGTTCCATTACAGCCACGGGTCTGCATGCTTTTACCTGTGCACGTCGATAATTACGCGGCGAGATGAGTTTCCGCGCGGGACACCAGGAAAAACTAACAGTCTCCAGAGAGATTCAGCGATCGATGGTCGGTTATACGCGTTCCCCGTCGTCGAACCTGTTCTTCAGACGCGGTTTCTTGCGATTCAAGGGGAACGTATTTCGTTCCTCGAAATGAAGTGAATTTTGCCACGAAGATTTCCAGGAAGTACGTCTATTTCTCGTTGGCTTTTGAAGCGTGTTCCGAGGGCGTGTTCTTGCCGCGTTCGAACTTCGAGTATCGAGGCTCAGAATGATACCTCGCCGACTGTAAACCGGCTAATGACAGTTCCGAAGTTTTCCTTTTCTTTTCCGGGGCCTGGGAACCTCGGCTGGATAGTTTCGGTTTATGCAAGCTTCCCTGCATTTTGTACGCGTATTGAACACCGACACGGTTGGAAATGTTTTCAAGCTTCGATTTCCTCGACCACTTTACCCTCTATATGTATATGCAGACATTCTACTCCATATAGTTGATTTGATCTTTGAAGTATTTCGGTGCAGTTAATATTCTCGTGATTCATTTGGAGTAATAGACATTTCATAATTTGAAAATAGATTGGATTTAAAAAAAAAAGGATAAATTGATTTCCTAAAAATAATATCTTCTTTATTTTAATAAGACAGACTTAGATATCTCCAGTGACAGATGAAATATTTGGAAAGGTTTTCTAGTTTCGGGTTTAATGGACGTCCAGAATGAAACTTTTGAAAGGAAACTGATCATTGTTAGTATACTCAGGGTTTTCTCGAAAATGTCACAAATATATGTCACTATTAGAAGGATGGGCTACAGATACAAACTTATTTGAAGCATCACGAAAACACTGTAAACTTCAAAACTGTTGCAAGTGTATGTGACATTTACTCGACGCACGTGACTGTGGTTCATCGAAAGTTAGAGGTGACTGTCAGGTACGCATTTGATACTGTTGTTACATAGGGTTCGTGTGGCTCACAGAATTTACAAAACGACAATGAATGTCACGTACTGTGATTAATGGTACCTGCTTTTCGTGGTGTTGCGGATGTAGGTCGGTTAGAGACGGGAAATGTTTGTTTTCGGTGTGTCTATTATCCAGAGCTAAACGAGCCCTTGATGAGGATCAGCACAAGCGGCTGTCGAAAAATACCAGAGTTTATGTATTCGGAAGCCAATAGTTTGCTAAGAGCGATACTCGTGTTCATTTTTCCACGTCAATAGAGAAATTTGACACGAAGGATAACGCAGGTGTCAATTATCAGTTAAAATTTCTGCAATAAATTAACCTCATTCCAAACACGAAAAACTAAATCCTTTGTCATTCACATTACTAGCGACAGAACTTCCGTTACGAAGATAAATCACCTTTCATCAGGTTGACATTTATGTCAATATTCACACAACATCCATCAGAGTTAGAGTCTTTTCTTTCAAATAAAATAGAGACTTTCTACGTTAAGATTTAGCACAATAATTCTTTTTTAGACTCATTAGATAATCAACGTCAGTCAAACTTTGGATAATATTAAAGAATTAATCTCGTAGACCTGGATGAAATGTTGTATTAAATATATGGGAGGCATGGCTCTTAACGCTGCGAACTGAGAAGGTAAAGAAAGTAAACTTGTTCACGATTCATAAAATTCTGTAAAGCTAAAAGTAGATAGGAATTATAAGAAATCTCAGCTTATGGAAGCTACATTTCGATAGAATGTTCTTGCGATCCAATGACAATTAAACAGTCGACGCGTTAAGTCACCGGGAACTCGATCCATAGGTTACACGTGTGAACAATTAACAGAAAACGGAGGAACCGCTGTCGAAGATTGATTAAACGCGACGTCGCCACAGAATTAATGGACAGGGATCCTCGGACGAAGAGAAAAACGAATATATTAACCTGTCCGGCCGTTCGTTGACCATTATTCCCGTTCCCTTTGATTTTTCGAGCCATTTGCCGGACTCCGCGAGCCGCTTCATCACGTTTTTATGATGGTATAATTCAGGGGCAATATAATATTTGTGGTCCCTAGCCGGTGGCACTGGCAGAAGTGCGTCCTTCCCTGCAGCTCTGCGGTAGCCACGGGAAAAAAAGCAATAAATTGGTGGAACGGCGGAGAGCAAAAGAGAGGGAAATAGAGAGAGATCGCGAGGAACCTAAACAGAATAAAATTTGATAACTGGGAAATGAACGAATATGATCCTGCAACTACTAGTGAATTATGTGTAATAGGATGTTACAGTGACATCCTATAGAAAACGTAAAATTTTCCTACTTCGTCTTAATTTATGATCGTCTGGCGTCATCCTGCGAGAAATTCAGTTCCTCTAATTATATAAAAAAAAATCCTGTTCTTATACCATAAATTAATCTACAGGGTGTCCGTTTTAACCGGATCCAGTGGAATATCTCATGCTACACTGAAGGTATCATAAAAATGTTCTTACAAAAGTTCTTTGCTATGAACGGGGACATAATGTGGTATACATAATTTGTTCGCAGATAGAGTAGACGGGTAGATTTTAAGGTCAACTAAATTTTTGAAACAGAATACTATATTTTTTTATTCATAATAAAATATAATAGCGTTCGTTGGGGCGACATACTAATTGTAAGTCACTTCTCGTTCTGTGGTAGGTTGTAAAATTGCGGAAAACCAGGGACTTGTATCGCATACTTCTGAACACTTTCGAAAATTTCGATGAATATTGATAATTACAGTAATCTTCTCTAGTGTTGCGCTATTTAACCATCAGAAATTGAATTTCAAGATAAGAAAGAAAATCGCCACACCAATTAAAATGCGTCTAGCTATCAGTTCCGAATACACCTAAAAATAATCGATACGAGTTCTAGAAGCGACCTTTTAGCACCGAATGACAAAAAGTAGCTAACAGGCTGCGAGAGGATGTCGTCTCGAGAGCTGTAACAGAAA